TCACCACCCTGCGTCTGTGTCTATGAGGGTTTTGTTTTTGTTTTGATGGATCCCTTCATGGGCACATAGTTTAGATTGGGGTTTATTTTAGGGCTCTGCTCTTTCTCCCGCGAGCATCCCAGCAGCAGCCTAACAGCTTCTCAAGTGGTGCCTCACCTTTCTTGTTGTCTGGAACGAGGAACCAACTGCCCACAGCCACAGGGACACTCAGTGCTGGAAACAGGGGCTGTGAAGCTAGGTTTCCTGATTCTAAGTCCAGAGCTTAACCTCCTAGAAAATTCCGGCCCCATCTTGTTCCATGCAGGTCCACATGTCCCACAGCCTGTGCCTCTCGAGCTAGAGAAGATTCCGGACAACTGCCGAGGCACATCTGGGACCCAGGAAAGCCTCCTGCCTCGTCAGAGCTGAGCAGCCTGCACACTTCAGGATCCTGTCTCAGCCGAGCAGCCGAGGCAAGCAGCCATGTGGGACCCACAGCGCGTGGGCCCCCTAGCGCGTGGGCCCCCTGAGCCACATGGGCCCTCAGCCACGTGGGCCCTCAGCCGCGTGGGCCCTCAGCTGCGTGGGCCCTGAGCCGCGTGGGCCCTGAGCCGCGTGGGCCCTCAGCCGCGGTGGAAGCACCATTAGAGCTCTGCCCACTCAGCCAGTGTCCTCAGCAAACCCTGTGCACTGTCGGCCAAGCTGAGAGAAGAGTGGTCAGACTGCCTGTCCCAGAAGGCTCCCCGCCTCCCAGGCCCTGGGCTCTGCTTGGCCCTGGAGACGCACTTGGGTTCTTCTTGCTGGAGTTCGAGACTCCTCTCCCCTCTTAACGTAAACCCCGCAGGCTAATTCAGTTATACGAGGCAGCCAAATTGCACAGAATCGTCCGTTCTTCCCCCAGAACAGATTATGAGCCTGGACGGGAGAGATAACTGCTTCCCAGCCACTGAGCAGTCCTTCCCTCCAGACTTTCTACTGAGACTGGCGTCTGAAGTCAAAGCAATAATTATCTAAGAGACAAAGAGCCTGTGGGTGGCGGGTGTCCGTCCTGAGAGCTGTTTCAGGTTTGTGAATTCTGTGCTCTGTGATTAGCCAGGGGGACTCCCCAGGGAAGCAGGGGGGACCCTCTAACTCTGCACACTCAACGTGAGGAGGGAGCGGAGGGGGAGGGAGAGCCTGCCAGCCAGCGTCTCACTTGCCAAATGAAATGATGTTATCACCACTCCCTTTTCTGCAAGGCATTTGGGAGTTAATGACAAACCAGTCACAAGTTGTCAAGCTGAAAAGCAAACATCACTTGCCTTCTCTAAACAGAGGACAAACAAGAGCAGCAGAGGCAAGGAAGTCCGAGTGCCTGTCAGGGCCCAGCAGAGCCAGGGCGGGGTGTGCCCTCCCAGGCCTGCATCTGGACGTTCATTTTCCAAGTGAGCAGGCAGCTGAGGGAGCTGAACCCCAGGCCCAAAGTCACCGCAAATTGTCTTCAGAACCAGGATCCGGACCCAGGCCTCCTGACTCAGCGGCCCGGGTGCCTCCTTCGGGGATAAGGAGCCATCTCTGGGTGCCGCTCTGCTGTGGCTCTAAGAGGGCCCCTCTCATAGGACACCCCTGGATGGGCGACTAGAGGGACAGTTTAACTAGGCCTTCTCCAGGCTCCATGCCAGTGACGGGCCCTGCTTCCGGGAGTCCCTGGAGATGCCAGTCTCTGAGGCAGGCAGTGGTCAAAAGGGGTTTCAGATAATTATGCCTGCTCACCACAGGCAGTGGGGTGGAGGACGAAGGCCCAGTAAACGGTCCCCCACCTTCCACTGCCTGTGTGACCGTCTCCCCACTCTTCCACCAGCTGGCTGAGCCCCTCCTCAGTCACGGTAACCAAGCTGGTCCTCAACCTTCCAGAGCTGCGCTTGGCTGTGACCTTGAGATCCCGGCCTCCCCAGGATGAAAACTGCGGCCTTGAGTCCAGTCCTGCAGCCTGAGTCCAGCCCTGTGGCTCTGACCTTGTCCCACGGCCCTGACCGACCTTGTCCTGTGGCCCTGAGTCCAGCCCTGTGATTCTGACCTTGTCCTATGGCCCTAAGTCCAGCCCTGTGGCCCTGACCTTGTCCCATGGCCCTGACCGACCTTGTCCCGTAGCCCTGACCTTGTCCTGTAGCCCTGACCTGGTCCTGTGGCCCTGAGTCCAGCCCTGTGGCCCTGAACTTGTCCCATGGCCCTGGCTCTGGGACAGGCCACAGGCCCTCATTGGCCCAGCACTGTGGTTAAGCACCAATGCTTTGGAGTTAAGACTCCTGGAACCCAAATCCTGGCTCTGCCACTTTCCTGAGGAAACCCCTGATCTCTAGATCTCAGTCCGTCCACCAAAGTCACCTGCCGATTTGCTCTGAGCATTAAGAGTAGCGGTGCCGCTCAGGGTACGCGCTCAGTAAACGGCCGCTGTGTGTATGACTCAGTGGTCCCCTCTCTTGCCTGACTCCTCCCCCCATCAGCATCTTCCCCCTGATGGCCCATCATTTTCTGTCTGCTGGTAGTGTGACCTCCCTCCCTGCAAGGGTATTATGCTTGACCTCCCCCAAACCCACTGCACCACATGACATGTCAGCCAGGCTTCCTCCTCCCTGGGCAGGGTCCCCTACTCTCCATCCATCCGCACACCTGCCTCCATCCAGGTTGCCATGAGTAACCAGCCTCACACCTAGTAGCTACTGGGATGGGCTCCTGACTGAGCCTGGGGCTGGGCCAGTCACACCCACAGCGAGTGAAGCACAGGCTGGGACCATGCCCGGGCAGTTGCCTGGGGCAGAGCCCAGTCAGGTGGGAGCAGCAGCTCCCCTAGAAGCCTTTGGTGGCCTGCTCTCCAGTCACGGACGGGGCAGGCCCTCTATCCCAGTAACTGAGAGCACGTGTAACGGGGCAGCAGGGAGCCGCGGTTTCACTTCTCTTTGCCTGGTTCTTGTCCCCTTGCCCCTACCCATTGCTCTACATCAGCGTTTCTCAAACTGTCTGGTGAGGGTCCAGTTGTCTATTTCCCCAAACTGCAGTGGACTACAGCCTGGCAAACCCACCCAGAACTCCAGTGGCAAGGTTCCTGTAGGACTTGCCCAGGCTTCAGTGGGTGCTGTTACTGAGGGTCAGGCAGCCCCCAGGGAAGGGACATGCTGAGATAGTCCCAGGCCAAGTGCAGGGGCATCCCTTACCCAAGTGCAGGGGCATCCTTTATCCAAGTGCAGGGGGCATCCTTTACCCAAGTGCAGGGGCATCCCGTGCAGGGGGCATCCCTTACCCAAGTGCAGGGGAGTCCCTTACCCAAGTGCAGGGGGCGTCCCTTATCCAAGTGCAGGGGCATCCCTTATCCAAGTGCAGGGGCATCCCTTACCCAAGTGCAGGGGCATCCCTTATCCAAGTGTAGGGGGCATCCCGTACCCAAGTGCAGGGGGCATCCTTTACCCAAGTGCAGGGGCATCCCTTATCCAAGTGCAGGGGCATCCCTTATCCAAGTGCAGGGGCATCCCTTACCTAAGTGCAGGGGCGTCCCTTACCCAAGTGCAGGGGCATCCCTTACCCAAGTGCAGGGGGCGTCCCTTTACCCAAGTGCAGGGGCATCCCTTACTCAAGTGCAGGGGCATCCCTTACCCAAGTGCAGGGACGTCCCTTACCCAAGTGTGGCCAGGCATCCCCTTGGTCCCCTGCACCCCTTACCATTCCATGCCGGCCCTGTTGATCTCCTCCCACCAGCACTCCGTAGGCTCCCCCAGGCTTTGGCTGGTGGGCATGCAGGCGTAGTTCCACTGTCTGTCCGAACCTTCCTTCTTGCTGAAGATGCTCCTCACGGCCACCACCACCTGTCCGTGGGGACACTGGTAGCTGAAGCCCTGCCGGTTCAGGTTCACCCACCCGTCGTCGCTGTAGTCGTGGTACTGTTGGTACGGGTACCCATAGCCACCATACTGGCCCCAGGCCACGGCGACCAGGGGCAGAAACACCCACAGAAGAGCGAGGCTCATGCTGTCTGGGCTCCTGGCAAGAAGTGTCACCCCAGGTCTGCTGGGCCGGCCGTTTTATGGAGCTGCCGCCGACATGTGGCTTCCAGATGTGCAGGGCCGGCTCCAACTGCAATCCGTCATCGTCTGGGCGAAGCTCTGCGCGGCGCTGGCCTTCGTGCATCCAGCGCATTTTAAGGTGGAATTCTAGGAAAATGTCGGGAACACACAAATGGAAGCTCCTTGGAGAAAGAACAGACTTGCAGACGGATCATAAAAGCGAGGGCTTCACACTCCTTAGAAACACTCACCTGAGGAAGCAGTGCATTGGGCCCCTTCCCTCCCCTCCCCTCTCTCTGCCCCACCGACCCCCACCAGCACGCCCTGGTATTTGTTCTTCCAAGGAGCCTCCCAGGACTGCACAGGTGTCCAGAGTAATTTCAAGCACCAAGAGGGCTGAGGAAGGGACAGAGCCATGCGATCTGGGCAAGGCTGGAAGCCTGGTGGCTGATGGGCATGGCCCCCGGGGTGCAGGGCTGCTCTGCTAATGCTCAAGTCACCTTCGGGAGGATGTGGGCCCATTTTCTCTCAACACAACCCTTTCCAAGCTGCCAGACACACACCCAGCTCCCTAGGAACTGGGCTCAGCTCTCAAATACTTAATGAGTTTAATCTGAGTGAAGCCATTTTTTATCCTTCCGTGTGATTTCTTTTCCTTCACGTTATGCTCCCCCTCCCCCCAGGTATGATATATCTTTTTAAATGTTTAGCATACAGTCATGTAACCAGCACCATAAAAAGACAGAGAACAATTCCATCAGCTCCCCAAGCCCACTTATGCCCCTTGGTGGTCATATCATCCACCATACCCAGCCCCTGGTCATTCCTCATCTACTTCCTGTCACTATGGTCTTGCCTTTTCCAGAATGTCAAATCAATGGAATCGGACAATATGTAGTCTTTTGTGTCCAACTCTTCCCACATAGAAGAATGCTTTAGAGATCCATCCACATTGTTGCAGTCGGTTCTTCGTTCCTTCTGTGGTGAGCATATTGTATGGTGTGGCTGTATTACAGGTGTTAACTGTTTACCTGTTGAAAGACATTTGGGCTTTCCCAGTGTTTGGTAATTATGGATAAGGCTGCTAAAAACATCTATATATGCATTTTTAATACTTAAACTTCATGTATTTTTGTTTTACTGAGAAATAATTGTCATCCATTACTGTATAAGTTTAGGGCATATCACATGATGGTTTGATTTATGTATACAGTGAAACGGTTACCACAATAGGCTTAGCCAACATCCATCTTCTCATACCTATATATATATAAAAGGCTAATATGAAAAGTGTCTCCTTAGGAATTCAGCCAAGAGACCAGGAGTTCGATCACTCACTATGATGTGCATTGACCACCAGGAGGTGGTATCGAATGAAGGAAGGCCCCAGCCAATCAGCTGGAAGGCCCCAATTGGCCCTGATCGCTGGCCAGGCCTAGGGACCCTAACTGTGCACGAATTTCATGCACCAGAACTGGCCTAGATACAATAAAAAGAGAGAAAGAAGAAAAGGGGGCGGGGGGGGGGAGGATTCCTCCCTGTGATGGGAAATGTTAGGATTTACTCTCTTAATAACTTTCCTATTCTTCATTCAGCACTTAGCTATTGTCACCATGCTGTACATCAAGCATGTCAAACTCTCATCCCGTGGGCCACATGCCTTGTTTATTTGGCCCACATTAGCCTTTGAGTTTGACATGCTTGCTGTACATTACATCCCTAGTATTATTTATCTTTTATATTATTACTGGACATTTGTAACCCTTTGACCACCAAAATCTAAAAAGGGAGATCAGATGCATGGTTACCAGAAGCAGAGGGTTGGGGGAGGAGGATTAGAGGAACAGGAACAGGCTTTTGTATGAACAAATTTTTATGTCATGTGGGCAAATACCTGGGAGCGGAATTGCTGGGTGATAAGGTAAGTGTATGTTTAACTTTTTAAGCAACTGTCTGATATCTCTAGAGGCTGAGCCATTGTGTTTCCCTACCAAAATTACCATAATCTCTTTTTAAATTTTAGTCATTTAATAAGTTAATAGTTTTTTAGTGGTATTTCAATGAAGTTTTGGTTTGCATTTCCATAATGACTAATGATTTGGGGCATCTTTTCATGTGTGTTTGTTGGACAACTATATGTCTTTGGCGGTTCAATCTTTTGAGTTTTTTGGGCGTCTCCGAAGTCTGAATCATTTCCATTTTTCATCAGGGTTGTCCTTGAGGAAGTCTACTAATATAGTGGTAGTAGATCAATTACAGTCAAATCCCATTTCTCAAATGTCTCCCATCTCGAACAATTCAGTTCTTGACCAAATTGTTCATAGAAAAAATGTCGGTGTCTCAGTTGTCAAACCAAACTTTGGTTTTCAACCGGACAACGCTTTCTTCCTGATACCTCAGCATGACAAAAAGTGTCTCTCAGGCAACAAAGGAGAGGATGCTTTTGTTGCTGGGGAAATCAAGGGTTAGCACAATTTAAAAACATAGAGACCATCAAGAGCGCCAATGTTGCGAAGGGTGTGGAAGAAGCAATGGTCACAGGCAATGGAAGAGGTAGAAAGTCCGTTCTTGATTTGGATAAAGGAGAAGCAGTGAGCAGGTGACAGTATTTCTGAGGCGGTGATATGTGAACAAGCAAAGATGCTGCATGCTGGCCTGAGAGACACCCCTGGAATGGGCGCTGGAAATGAGTCCTGTGAGGCTGGTAGGGGTGGTTCCATCAGTTTAAGAAAAGAAGTGTTTGTTCATAGATTAAACAGTCCATTAGACATGCACTGCATATAAGGAAGGTTAACAGGAATCATTTGTGGGTCTGGAATAGATTAATTCAATTTATATTATTTCTAATGGGAAAAATGGTTTGGCTTTTGAACAAATCGCTTCTCGAACAGCCTTCCTGAATGGTTTGAGTTTGAGAACCGAGGTCCACTGTATCTTAAACTTTTAAGAAGCTGTTTAAAGTGCTGACTCTTGGGCTCCACTCCCGACCTACTAAATCAGACCTCAGGGGATGCCCAGGTGTCTGCAATTACAAAAAAAAGTTTCCTAGGTAATTCTTATTCACACCAAGGTTTAAAAACTGATTTTCAAAGGGATTGTGGAACGGGGTGGGGATGGGGGATCCCCGTATGAATCCCACCCTTTGCCTGACCTCTCTCTCTAAAAATTAATTTTTAAAAATCTTTTTTAAAAAAAGAATTACCTGGGGAGCTTTGGCAAAACACCAGTGTCTGAGGCCCAGCCGGACCCACCAGAGGAGCAGCTGTGGAGCAGGGCCCGGACAAGGGGACCCTAAAACCTGCCTGTGGTTCTCAGGTGCAGCCCCCGCGGAGACCCACTGCTCTGGGGTTTAAAAATGCATGGACCTGAGGCTCCCCAGCTAGTTACATGCTGTGTCCTGGGCCTGGCTCTGAGTCATCTTAACCTTAAAGAGCTCCAAGAGACAATGCAAATGATCGTAAACACCGTCTCTATTACACATTCATTTCCCAGCAACGCCCTGGCCCTGCCTGTCCCGTTCCCTGCAGACCTCTCATCTTACAGCGAGCGCTCCGGTGGCTGGACGCCCGGTAATGTGCAGAGCAAGCATCTTGGTCGTTGAAGCCGGTTTGGGTGCAGGTTCCCGTGACGTAGAGCGGAACGCGCGCTCGCTCAGGGCAGCGTCTCAGGGCCCAGCACTCTGAGGCCGGGGCGAGCTGCCAAGGCCCCGCAGAGCACGGCCCCCCAAGCGGACACAGTCACAATTTACTCTGCGTTTCCAACTGGCTCGCCATAGTCTCTTTCCCACGCCCTTGTAACGTACATCACTGGCGCATTACTGGGATGTGACTATTTTGGCTCAAATTCTTAGAGCTGGAAGGGCATGAGCCCAGCTCTTCTGATTCCTATTCTGCGATTTCTCCCATCACATCATTAAAACTGCCATCACGAATTATAACAATTTAGAAACAATTGCCCAATAAACTCTGTATAAGGGAATCTATATTAACACACGCGCGTAACTAATACGCAGTGTGGATTTCTGCTGTTGTTCGCAGGTTGCTCGAGAGGCCCTGGGCCTTTAAGAATTAAGGTTTAATCAGTCGTTTTCAAAGTGCTTCTAGGACCCGAACATCAGCATCACCTGGGGGTGTGTTGCAAATGCTGGGCGTTGAGAAAACCAAAGACGATGGGCCAGGGCAGGTAAGAGCTGATTCACGTCAGGAACATGGAGACCAAGGACCGTGCTGAGGTGGGGCGTGGAGGGCAGGGAGGGAGCAGGGAGAATGCGGAGAGAACCCCAGAGAACGTCCAGGGCAAACTCCCCCCCCCTCCCCGCAATCATTCCAATCTGTGAGGAAGCCCTGCTGCGCCTCTCCTCTCAGGGTGGCAGTGACTTTATTTTGAAAACTTTGCACATGGGAGGCAGGGACAATGCTTGTGGAACGAATGAAATCATCCCCAACACCCTGAGCCATCTGACAGCGAAGTTAAAAGTCCTTCTCCTTAGAGCAGTTCCGATGTGGACGCCCCAACAGCGGTGCCTGTGCCTCGCCGCAGAGCGGCCACCTGTCTGGATGCCGAAGGCCATTCCCCAAACTCTCACCCCAAGGACCACTTGGTAATGTCACTTTTCCACCAATCGTTACACTGGGGGAAATTTTTCCATTTTTATTCATTTTATTGGGGTGACAGTGGTTAACAGAGTTATCCACCTCCCTCCACCCCACCTCGGCAGTCACCACTCTGTTATCCATGTCCGGGAGGTTTTTGTTCTTTTCTTTTTTAATCAACCCCTCCTCCACTCCTCCCCCCGCCCCCAGCTTGGGGGTAAAAAGGACCTCTTACCCTTTGCCACAGCATGGATGGCCTGGGGGCACTATGCTAAGTGAAAGGAGCCGGAGAGAGAAAGACAAGTACCCTACGATCTCACGATCTCACTCATGAATCTAAGGAACAAAATGAACTAACAAGCAAAATAGTGACAGACTCCTAGAGGAGAGCAGGCTGCCAGCGGCCCGGTGGGTGGGTGGGGGCCGGTGGGGGCATTTGTGGAGCGTCTAACGGTGCCAGGCATTCGGGAAAGTGGGCTTGTTCCTCGGCCTCGGAGCTACAGGAATGTGATTGCCAACTACAGCCGGGCTGTTGGAATCAGGTGTCCGGTGAGCTAAGCAGGAGAGCTGGTCCCCGGTCCCCGGTCCCCGGTGTGCATCTCAAAGTCAGGCTCCTGGGCCCTGCGCTGTGCCGGAGGGCACTCAGTCAAGGTCATT